TCTTTTCAGTGTTCTTAGAAGTCATTTGTTGTCAAGGAGTTTGGGAACAAAGGAGGGAGAGGAGTTACTAGAAGGACAGTCATTGGTCTATATATTTTTCCCTGTAGTGTTAGAGAATCATGGCGAGAAAGAATGTGTGCATGGTAATATGTGATTCCAGCAGGTAGATGTTCTTACCTTCCTGAGGGAAGTTTATTTTCCAGGCCGCTAGATGCCTTGCAATGTTTGTTTGTTTGTTAATTAGTTACTTCTGCTTTGATCTATCCTGTTCACAATAGAAAGTAGCTTGGCTAATTTGAAATCCATAGATAATGTTAAAATATCCAAGGTTCTTCATCTTTTTCCTCTGTTTAGTCACATTGCCTAGTGCCTAAAGCATTTGACTGGTAACCAGAAGGGTGGCGGTTCAAACTCACCAGCCACTCCTCTGAAGGAAGGCTGGGCAATCTACTTCCGAAGAGATAACTAACTAACTAACTCACTCACTGCCGTACAGTCCTGATCCGACTCATAGCAACCCCTCCTTGGGTTTCCAAGGCAGTATCACTATGGAAGTAGATTGCCCCATCTTCCTTCCAAGGAGTGGCTGGTGGGTTTGAACCGCTACCCTTCTGGTTAGCGGTCAAATGCCTTGGGCACTATGCCACCAGAGCTCCTATTGCAGAAACCCAAGGAGGGGTCATTATGAGTCGGATCCAACTCAGTGGTAGTGAGTTTGGTTCTTGGTTTTTTGGTATGAGTATCTGGAGCAGGGAGTCTTACTGTGTCACTCCATAGATGGATTTTATGACTGCACTTGATCTGTCAGACCAGGTAAACATATTGTGTGTATATGAATTTTTCATAGGGAGGGATTTCACAACTCTGATCAAATTCCCTAAGGACTTCATGACTAGTGCCAGAGAATCCAGAAACAGAAAATAGCTTTGAGTGGCAGAGGCACCGTGATACGTATAGTAAAGCCATGGAAGCACTTATGGGCCAGAGCTCTGGTGATTGGGAGTTAGTTATAAAATTAAGGTTTTGGTTAATCTTGACTGTTTTGTGTACCCTTGATAACAAAGTAATCAGATTTTTTAAACATTAGCACGTGGTAAGTATGTCAGTAGTATAAGTTAAATCAAACTCAGTGCTGTTGAGTTAGATCTGACTCATAGCAACCCCTCCTTGGGTTTCCAAGGCAGTATAACTAAGGAAGTAGATTGCCCAATCTACCTTCCAAGGAGTGGCTGGTGGGTTTGAACCGCCAGCCCAGGGTAAATTAGGACAAATAATTATTGGAGCCAACACACTGAAGATTGCTAACTGCTAAGAAATTGAAAGAGAACAGTAACAATCATTTAGTCATCTGTAACAGTATAGTGTGGAAGCAAACAGCTCTTGACACTGGTGTCATCAGTGTACTACAAGGTTGATGTTGTACCCATGAATAATGATGTCATTGTTGTTATATGCCTTTGAGTCAGACCCATGAATCATAGTTAAAAAAAATCATTTGCTGTAGTTCATTTAGAAAACAGGGAAGATTTCTACCAATTTCAGGAACTGCTTGAGGTTTCACTGGGTTAAATCATAGTTACCTGATGTGTGGATGTTGGAAACCTAATGCAGATGAGTCATTCTTTTATTTATAGTGTTGAATGAAAGGTTGGAGAATGTCAAAAAATAAACAGCTCAGAACACCATTAATAAATTGCTATGCAGGTTTAGCAGACAGTTTTAAAGTTGGGTAGCACATCATTTACCCAGTACATGAGTGTTCCCATTAATCAGGATTTTCAAAGTTATTGGGAACTTTTGAACATTTCTGATTGGTTGACATTTATGTAACTTTGCTAAACAATTACAAGACAGTCACCAAGACTCAAGATCAGTCAGTTTGGGTGACAAATCCCCTGAAGTGAATTGAACTCACTTCTGTGACTTAACCTTCAGCCAAACAATAGATAGGCCTATGGGATGAACAGTTATACCTGGGAGGTGTATTCTTTAGAACAGTCAACCATGGACTATCACAAGGGCAGCATGTGCTCAAGGATAAAGCTCCGAGGCAGGAATGCATAGGAAAGAAGGAAAAGAGCTGTTAACATTGTAGGGATTGCAGTCAATGTCATGAAGTAAAGTATGTATGAACTTTTGAATGGAAAATGAATTTGCTCTGTAAACTTTCATTCAAATCACAATAAAAAGTTAAAAAAGAAAGGATTAGTGTTGGGGGACAGCCCTGAAGTTTTGGAACAAAGTATGTTCATCAGTCTCAAAAACAGGATATGTTTGTTAATTTTGATTATTTTCTGGATGAATAAGTGAAAGTTCGTGAATAATGAGACCTTTCCGGTTTCAGTGGGCCTAGTCCTGGTGATGGTAATGGTTCAGCTCCTAGCTGCTAACCTAAGGTTGGTGGTTTTAACCCACCAGGCACTCCACAGGAGAAAGATGAGGCAGTCTACTTCCATAAAGATTACAGCCTTAGAAACCTTATGGGGCAGTTCTGTTCTGTCCTGTAGGGTAGCTATGACTCAGAATCAACTCGACAGCAACAGTGTAGGGTTTGTTTTTGTTTTTGTTTTTTGGTCACCTAGCTACTTTTAAAGGTTATAGAATAGCCAAAAGATTATTTCTTTATTGGTGTGCATAGATTTTAACAACATTTAACAAGATGACCTTTAGTGTTATGTGTAGGAGAATTCTTTGTTTTCATAATGTAAAACTTTTAATTTTTTTAACAAAAGTCATGAAATGGGCAGTAGGAAAGAGAAAGATTGAGAGATGTGAATACCCCAGGGCTTCAAACAGTCATGGATCAGTCATGGCCAATAAAGCAAAACAGGAACAATCCCAGATTTGTAAAATATGAGTGTACCAAAACAGTAACCAGACTGGGGAAACTTACAGGTTGATGCCTACTAGAAATTTAATTTCCTTCTTAGAAAATAAGAGCAGCACGTACATTGCATAACAACCAAATCTCTTGACTGACAGGTTGGAGACAGTGCCTGGCCCAAAGATGGTGGCCAACCATGCCACTTTGAATGTGTGTCACTCTCTACGGTCCTGGCAATGATCCAGTCTCCTGTATCAGGCTCCTAATGGGCTCACTATGCCTCTTCTGAGTTTCCCATTCCAGGCTTTAACTGTATTTTTTCACATTACAGTTATTGTTCCACTATAACTCCATTTTGCATATTTGTTTCTTTCCTGGTTTCTCTGCGTTAGCAATGAGTGAATCAGTTCAAACCAGTTTGAAGCCCTGGATAATCCAGAAGTTGGGTAGTTTTTGCGAGGCAAAGCCTGTTTACAATCTTTTGTTCAGCAAGCATTTATTCAGATACCCATTCTTTGTGGAAATTGTTTGAGGTGCTGGGATACACTAGTGAACAAGATAACCTTCGCTAATGAAATTTACTGCCTGTTTGGGAGAGGCGAAAGCAGTAAACAAAACAATGAAATTTCAGATTCAGCTAAACTATGATGGAAATAACCAGATTGTTGTGACAGAGTGTTTGGGGGTGGCTACTTTAGACATGGTGCTAAGGAAAGGTGACACTTTGAACCCTGTCCTGGAGGAGAAGCTAGCCCCATGAAGGGGAAAGGGAAGGGTTTCCCAAACTGAGGGAACCGCAGTTACCAAATCCCTGAAATCAGAAGGAGCTTGGTGAGTTTGAGAACCAGAGAAGGAGCCAGTGGATAGACTGAGGAAGTCAGAAATGTAGGCTTTTTTGGTAAATGGTAAAGATTTCAGATTGTACTTGAAGATAAATGGGCAACCTTGTAAATGGGTATGACTGAATTATATATTAAAATGAATGCTCTGACTACATGTGGCAAATGGATTGAAGGAAAACCAAACCAAACTCACTGTCATTGAGTCAATTCCAACTCATAGTGACCCCTCCTTGGATTTCCAAGGCGGTATCTCTATGGAAATAGAATGCCTGGTCTTCCTTCCGAGGCATGGCTGGTGGGTTTGAACTGCCAGCCTTCTGGTTAGCAGTCACATGCCTTAGGCACTATGCCACCAGCAAAAGTGAAAGAGAAGACAGCAGTTAGGAGGTTTTTGCCTGTGCCCAGGCAGGAGAGGATAGTGGTCTGAATGAGGGTGGTGGTATATAGTGGAGAAATAGAAGAGTGTTGGACTCACATATCTTTTAGCATTAGTGCTGACAGGACTTGCAGATGGATTGGATGGGATGTCAAGGTGAGGGATCGAAGGAAACACTGATGATTTAGCTGAGAAACTTGTTATTTACTGAGATAGAGAGGAAAATGGTTTTGGGGGCCTGGGTTTGGAAGGAGTTGGGAGAGTGAGATTAGGAGTCCTGTTTTGGACGTGATAGATCTGATTTACCTGTGAGATCTGGAGCCCAGATACCAGGTAATAAGAACAGGAAAGAATTGTATTTCTTGATCATTTTGAAGTTCTGATTGATTTGGTTTAGAAGGTTTCATCTTTGCATTCAGATTATAATTCGTAGACCCTTCTACACACGTCATCATGTTTTCTCTTTGGCTTTGACCCATGCAGTTTAATCTTTTGTTATTAAATATAAAACTGTAAATCTTGACTGTTAGTAAAGACTGATACTAATGAAGTTTTTGAACTCTGGTTTATAAATAAATGAATACTTAACTTTCATCATTCAAAGTATTTCTTGAGTACAGAGATTAGGATTTCAGGAGAAGTCCCAACTAGGGCTATAAACATGTTCATGTGAACAAAATAATTGCATAAATATTTCATGTCATTTACATCTGACTTATAGCTTGTATTATTAATATTTAGGAAGCTTTAAGTTAATATTTACTCCCTGTGGTTTTTCTTTTCATCCATTTCTCCTTTCCCTTTGTCTCCTTTCCTTCTAATAAGAAAGGCAAGTATAAAAGGGGGGGAGGGGATAACAATGAAAACCACACAAAGTTCTTGCATCATCACAAGTTATTTTTATTATTATTTTATTCAATATTTGTCTCATTTGTGCTCTTTTGTTTCCTTTTCCCAGGCTATAGCAAATGAATCTGGACTGAACTTTATATCTGTAAAGGGTCCTGAATTATTAAATATGGTAAGTTGTGTACTATTCATTATTTTAAATTAGTAATAGTAATGGCCATTCAAATTACAGCATAAAACATCTTCAAATCTTTGAAACAAAGCACCTTGCAATGTGGTATTTTGGTAAAATCACTGCTGTAAAAGGGGACTTGAGTTTTGCTGTGCTCTCTTACCTCAGATGCAAAAATGCTTTCTTAGTTAAGTCTCTTAACTTCTGAGACTCAGTTATCTAACCTGAAAATAGAAATTGTTAAAATAGTTAACATTTTAAACTGTTTTCTCTGTGCCTTGTACTTGTCACACACTTTATATATATTATTCTGACAACAACTTTATGAGGTTTGAACTATTATTTTCTTTAATTCATGGATGTTGTTGTTGTTGTTGTTATGTGCTGTCGAGTTGTACCCGACTCATAGCGACCCCTCCTTGGGTTTCCGAGGCAGTATCACTATGGAAGTAGATTGCCCCATCTTCCTTCCGAGGAGTGGGTGGTGGGTTTGAACCACCAACCTTCTGGTTAGCAGTCAAGTGCTTTAGGCACTATGCTACCAGAGCTCCTAATTCATGGATAAAGAAACTTAAGTTTGTCCATAGTCTGCAGCTAAGAAATTAGAGTATAAATTTGAACCTAGGTTGACTGACTCCTGCTGTACTTGTCTTGTTGTTGTATGATGCAAATCAATTATGTATTAATGGAAAAAATACTTTTGGGGAAAGAAACCAGTAAAGTACTAGAATATCTTCTTTCTGCATTTAGGCAGTTTACATCTCAAATTTAAAAGACTTTGAATTTATTTCCTGTCCATCCATATAAAAAGTAAAATTATCATTCTGTAATATATTCAAACAAAGAAGAATTAAGAGTGGTAACATTTGTTTAAAATTTTTAAAAATAATTTTAATTTTGGTGAAATTATACACAGCTGATATAACACCTATTCAACAATTTCTGCAATACAGTTCTGTAACATTGATTATGTTCTTCACATGGTGTTACTTATCTGTATTGGTTCCCCACCATTGACTTTGACTTACTACCTCCAAAACTTCTGTGCCTTACAGTTACTGTTGTGTTTAATCTCATGTAGATATTTCTTTAAAACAGCACAATGCTCCTGGCTCACATTCTTTACTAAATTAGCTAAACTGTTGTTTAGATTAAAGATAACTTCAGGGGGTAATTTCAGTTCCTAGTTTGAAGATTTTCTCAGAGCAGTAGATTCAGGGGTTCTTCCAGTCTCAATATGTTCAGTAAGTCCGGTTTCTGTAACAGTTTGAAATTCTGTTCTATATTTTTCTTTCCCCTTTTTGATCACGATCCGTCTACTGAGTCCTTAGTCAAAATATTTCAGTAATGATAGCCAGGCACCATCCAGTTCTTTTGATCTCATGGTAAAGGAGACTGTTGTTCATGGAGGCAGTGGAACCTGCAGTCCATTTCCTTCTCTGATTCCTGAGCTGTTTTCTTCCTCTATAGTTCCAGCTGAAAAGAGATTAATTGTTGTATCTTGGATGACCACTCACAAGCTTTTAATACCTTATGGCTTACTCACTGAGCTAGAGAATGGAACAGAAACTCTAAAAATAGTATTAGGCCAGTTGACTGGACAGTGCCTGGAAGGCATGACCCTATAAGTTTGAACCAGTGGAATTAATCCCAGGAAGTGTTTGGATTGTGCTTAAATAGTATTAGCAGCTTTAACTGCTGCTGCTAGCTTTAACCACTGCTGCTTTTTTTTTTTTTTCCTTTGGTGGCTATTGTTGTAAAATTATGTTTAATACAATATTTGGCATTTTGTCCTTTGTCTGGTGTACAGTTTAGTGATGTCAGTTACACCCATCAAGTTTTGTAATCACTGCCCTTAATTGATGCCAGTTTTCCCATTACCATAAACATAAACCACTACTTCCCAGAGAATGATTTCTTCTCTTCCTCCTCCCTCCTACCCTGGTAGCTACTAATAGTCATTGGTCTCTATAAATTATAAAAGAGGTCATACAATATAGCCAGTCCTTAGGTTACGAACATCCAACTTATGTACAACGCATAGTTACAAACCAACCCCCATCGAGCCTATTATATTAAAAATATACAGTTGCTTGTAATAACAAATGGGCATTACTTTGCAACTCACATGAAAACTATTAACTATTGTATTATTATGCTAAAGATGTTTTAGAGTATCTGGAAGTGTTTCTTTAATGTTTTTTATGCATAGAAAGGTACACTGTATACTAAGACAAACATTAGACTGATTGACGTTAGCTACGAACTGTACCTAACTGTTCCGACTTAACATACAAATTCAACTTAAAGACAGACTTAAGAATAGAATTTGTTTATAATCCGGGAACTGCCTGTATTTGTCCTTTTGTGATTGATTGATTTCACTCAGCATAATGTCTTTAACGTTCCTCTGTGTTGTGGCACATATCAAGACTTCATTTTGAAGCCAGGCTCATATTGAGTCCCTGCCTGTTGGGCAGTCAAGCCACATCAGTACACACACCAACTCCTTGAGAGGAGAGCAAGTAATTTATTGTAAAGCAGCAATGCAGTGAATCAGGGGTGTCACCCAAATCTGATTCCCCAAAATTGGCAAAGGATCTATCTTTTATTGGCTAGGAATTTACACATATTCAACTTATTTCTGGGAAAATCTAATTCATAATCATTAGGGGCAGGACGGAGGCCGGAAGTGGCCAACGACCCCTCACTTCTTTTTTTTTTTATTGTAATTTGGGTGAAAGCTTACAGAGCAAATTCACTTTCCATACAGCACTTCACGGCCCCCTCACTTCTTAATTTTGTCCTTCTTGGATTGGACTCCTAATCTTTTGTTCCCTTCTGGCACAGAGTAGCCCATCATTCCTCTTTGGTCATCTGAGGATATTGGTTGGTCCTGCTGCACCAGCACAAGTCATTGGGGCTCTGGTTGGGTCAGGCTTGTCTTGGTCACTCTGCCTGCATTCCTTTCCTAGGTCATCTTGTTTAAAAACAAGCTAATAAAGTGATTAAGTTAGAATAGAGCATAAGTAAGGCTACCCTCATGATGGTGTGTAACAGACTCTCCTCAGCTTCGGTCCCCTTTGAATTGTTACAGTTCCACATTCTTTGGGAACAGGGACATAATTCATCCTAGCTACTTCCTGCTATTCAGGGGCAGAGTTGGTGGAACTCAGGAACTCGTGGCTGAAAATCCTTCTCTGGCCTGGGTAGTTCTTGGTATCTTCTAGCCACAGTCTGAGAAGAAGGGATTGGGGTGAACAAAGAGTAGCCTGTAATTTCAGGAGCTTAAAAGCAGATAAGCAGTTAGGTAAGCATTGAATACAGCAACAAGTACAAAGTACCAATATAATACAGGGAGCATCACAATAAATAAAGATCTTAGCCACCCTAAGCTGGGGAGCCAAGAGGTGAGCCAAGAAAAGTCTGCCTTGAAGGTAGGCATTAATTGGTGTTGTATAGTTCCCCTGTCCTGTTGTAACTTGGAATAGTGCGGTGGATGGCCTGTTGATCTTGTTCTGTTTGATGTGACACATTAACCAGTGAACAACAGGTAGCATTGATGTATATATACATACCTCTCTGTGTGTGCTACCAACATGAGATCTAGGGCTGCCTGATTCTGAGGCACACCAGTCTGGATAGAGCTTATTTCATTAAGCAGCATAGATGTCACATCAGAAGGATAGTTTGCTACTGACTCTAAAGACACAGAGACATTCTAAACAAATTAGTGTAAAAAATGCAATCATCTTTATTTTTCCCAACACCCATTACAGGAATTAAAATTCCTTGGGCTTTTTCCCAAGTGCTCCATGTCAGGTCAAGTGGGCTATGTGGTATCAGTAGCTTCTGTGGGTAGCTCGTAAAACTTACTCTAATGACAAGAAATGCACTCCAAAGCTCTGGTGGTGTAGTGCCTAAGGCGTTTGACTGATAACCAGAAGGCTGGTGGTTTGAACCCACCAGCTACTCTTTGGAAGAAAGAGTGGACAATCTACTTCCATAGTTATACTACCTTGGAAGCCAAGGAGGAGTCAGATCCGACTCAGTGGCAGTGAATTTGGTTTTGGTTTGCTCACACCCATTCTAGAGTACACAAATCCCTTCATGATCAGCTGGCCAAGTTTTAAACTGTTAGAGTTTTATGAGGGTGTTAAACTACCATCCACCTTCCCCAGGGGATAGAGATGAAGTAATTACTGAGGTGATTAGAACCTGAAGAGCCTAGATGTGTTCACAAGTGTATTCCACCCCAGGCTGATGCAGCCACCCTGTATTCAGATGGTCAGGCCCTTTTGAGTCCTCCTGTCCCACAAGGCTGTTTTCTGTGGAACAAAATTAAGTTACAGTGTAGACTGGTGCAGTCCTTAGTCAGATGTGATGTATCCAAGGAAGGCCTCCTTTCAACTTAGTTCCTCTGGATGAGGAGAGAATTCTGTGTACTTCCTTCTCCATTTGTCGTTGTTGTTGTTATGTGCTGTCAAGTTGGACCCGACTCATAGTGACCCCTCCTTGGGTTTCCGAGGCAGTATCACTATGGAAGTAGATTGCCCCATCTTCCTTCCGAGGAGTGTGGTTTTTTTTATATGTAAGATGTTTATGAGACAGTTGGAAATTTGAACACTTAATGGATATTTGATATTAAAGAACTGTATTAATTATTAGGAGCTCTTGTGGCGTAGTGTCTAAGGCATTTAACTTCTAACCAGAAGGCTGGCAGTGCAAACCCACCAGCCACTCCTTGGAAGGAAGGTTGGGCAATCTATTTCTGTAGTAATACCATCTCAGAAACCCAAGGAGGCATTGCTTATGAGTCTGATCCAACTCGACAGCAGTGAGTTTATATTAATTATTATGTGTGATGATGTAATTGTGTGAAAGTCCTTACCTTTTAGTGATACTGAAATATTTATGAATAAAATGATATGTCAGGAATTTACTTCAAAATAACAAGGAAAAAAAGTGCATGGGGTGTACATGAAAGAAAGTTGGCCATG